CTCTTGTAGCTGTTTCCTTGGATACTTGCCCACATTTTCCTAAATAACCTGCTTAGACTGCTATTTTAGATGTTATCTGTTGCCTCTGTCATGGAAGATGACGATTTAACTTTTATAGACCGCCATCTTCACCTTGCATTGCTTTCATTGATACTTGGTTTTTACATTATGACTATGAACTATTTTTTGTAGCTGACACATGTAGGATACTATGATTGTTATTTTTGTGAAGGCTGAGGTAGAGGACTATCTCACCATTTAGTGTGTAGATTTATCCCCTTTTTCAGCTGTCCCTAAACCAGGAGCCTCTAGGACAGCCTCTTCAGAGAGGTCACCACCTGGCCTCTGCTGGAGCAGGGATCTAGGTGTTCGAGGAAGATTTAACCACTCCACCTGTTTTATGCCTCCTTGATACCTGGCCTTCCAGGCCACTGAGTGCCCCCCCACTTCCTCAGTCTTTGGAAATTCTGCAGTGCAGTTCAGCTTGCTTTTTAAAAATCGACTTCTCCCATCCTCCCAACCTTCCCTTCTGTTCAGGGTAGGTTTTCAGCGTACTTCCCTCTGCAAAGGTAGTGCTGGCCCATTGACTTCCTGTCTTCTGAAATGTCGTTGACCTCTCTTTCTATTACTGTCTCCTCTTCTCTTTGTCTCTGTAGGCTCATATCTGTGAGTTTATTCATTTGCTGTCATTTTAGTGGTTTGGGGAGAGAATGCAGGTGAACGTGACTTCATTCTGCCATGTTCAACAGGAAGGCCTCTGGCTCCTGTTTTTGATACATTTTGCTTTGTTTTACGCGTAGGTCGACAGTGTCTTTGTGTTTCAAAAAGCACATTTTGATTTAATGGGCCTATGTTTTTCATGAAGGGTCTTCTGTTCGTCACATGATTCCAAGAAATGTGTGTAGAATGCACACTGCTGCTTTGAAATAGAGTAATACTGTCTCTGGGTCCCTAGTACGCTTTCTAAGAAGATCCGTCGGATGCTAGTGTTTTATTATGTAGCGGGAGGCAGAGATGATGAAACACAAAGCTCCTGAAAAGAAAGGACTGGCCTTTCTCTCCCCCTTTTAGGTGCATGCTGGTTTTAAAACCTCTTTCTCAGTGGTGCTCTTACTCTTTTGGCTCTCAACAGTTAGCTTTTCTGGAGTGGAATGGTTGAGGGCAGGAGTACCTGGGGTGTGACAGCAGTGTTAGAAGCTGAATTTTTCAAAGGGCAGAGACTCCATTAGACTTAGAGCCACTCCCTTGGGTAAGGGCCATGGAGAGCCAGGCAGCGCTGTCATGAAGGGGCGCCACTGTCTTTGAGACCGCGTGGCTCTGGCAGCAGTGCACACTCCCCCGAAGAGGGGGCAGAGGCCAGAATCCCCCAACACTGGCCAGGCTTGTGCCACCTCCCAGCAGATGGACCGGTAACGCCTTTTCACATCCCTCCCTGTCTTTGAAAACCAGGACATAAGTCACCAGTTTGTTGTCTCCTGCCTTTGGGAAAATCTCACATTTCCTGTGTGGGAAGCCAGCCCATGTCCATCCTTCCCACCTCCTGCCACCCTAGCAGCAGTTCACACACCGTAGCCTGTGTACCTTGATTTGCAACTTTTGGACCATGCTCCTCCCACCCCCAATCATTTTTTTTTTTTTTGCAAGGATAATACAAAATGCAGCTCACAGGCCTATTTCAGACTTTATTAAAACATCATTTCCCCCGCCTTGTTCCCGGATTTCTGTGCTTAATCATAGAAAGGCAGCTTGTTCAAATATACATTATTCTTGCTTGGAAAATGCTCTTGGCTTGTCTTCCTCCCCACCTCCCTCCGTGTTTTGTAACCTCGCTTCACCGAGGCCCTTCTCATTAAATATCATAATTTGCTCATTGGAGAGTTATTTGTAAACTTAATTAACTCTCTGTCAGTGTTTGAGTTAATTTTCTCCCTTTCATTTTAGCCTCCCTGGCCGTGGTTTTTCATACTCTGTCCTGTGTCTGTTAAAGACTTCGTAAATAGTTTTGAAATGCCAGTTGGTGATATATGGGCCTCTTTAACATTTCTTTGATTTATGTGCAGTGCTGTGGAAAAAGGCAAAGAAAGCAAATTATATGGCAAAAAATGTTGCCAATCTTCACTTTTTTACTCTTAGTTTTAAAAAGTATACTTATCAATCAAATCTGATGGATTTTCTTTTTTATAAAGATTGAAAATTTAACTATTTGAAGACTTGTGCAATGCGTGTTCTATATTTGCTTAATCAAGTAACTTGGTACTAGAATAGGGTTTGAAAATTCTAAAAGCTTTCAATCTCTACTATTTGTTCCTATCCTGCTCCCTCCCCAACTCTTCCACAATATATGCATGAAACGGCCAGATTTTGATAGGAGTTGGAAAGATGGAATTCTCTCAATGCTGGAGGTACGTCGCTGAATCCTTCTGGTAAAGCAGCAAGAGCTGTGTCCTTCTCTTAGGTGACTGTGACTTGTCTGAGGTTTCTCTCTGTGGCATATCTCTGATGGTTTCCAGGTCTCAAGAGACTGGCCTCCTGAAGCTATCAGTGAATCTGTAAATGTTAATTTTCAGAGTTTACTATGATCGTGCACAGGTTTTAGTGTGTCTCAGAGCTGCCTGGGGGTGCCTGTTCCCGTGTGAATTCCTAGGCTCCTCAGTAGAAGTTGTAATTTCACAGAAGTGGGCCCCTGGAATCTGCACTTTTGGCGAGCCCTCTAGATGATTCTGTTGCAGGTGATCTCTGACTGTGCCTTGAAGATTATTTGAAGGCTGTAGTGCCCTTGATTCTACACTCTCCTATTCAGTATCCCGAACGGCATCCCTCCCCCAATCGTCTACTACATGAAGTCCAAAGAAGGTGTAAAAAAATCCATATTACTTGGGAGCACTGGGACTTGTCATTTGTGTAGGCAGGGTATATAGGTCTGGCTGTGCACAGTTATGCAATACCTACAGACCTCTCCGGATTTTTAAAAAATTTATTTGTTCATTCAGCCACAACTGTGTGCCAAGCACTGTCCTAGAAGCTGAAGCTACAGTCAATGACTAAGGTAGAAGTCTCTGTCCTAATGGAGCTTACATTCTACGGTATGGGAGAAAGGGAGAAGGAGAGTGGGAGAAGCGTAAACTAAACAAACGGTGTGTATGTAATGCCTAGCTGGCTTTACTGCTGTGATTAAGATAAAGCTGCTGTGATAGAACGCACCTTTAGGTGGCCAGAAAAGGCCGCCTGAGAAGGGAAAGTTCAAGTTGAGACTTGTACAACAAGAAGTCAGGTATGCAAAGATCAGGGTGAAGAGTGTTCCAGGTAGAGGGGACAGCTAGAGCAAGAGGCCTCAAAACGGGAACAGAAAGGAAGCCCGCCGGAGTGGTGGAAGCAGAGTGGTGGAATGCTGGTGAGGCAGGTGGAAGGGGGAGTGGGGCCGGAGCACATAGGTTGTATTGCTGTGGGTGTGCCCTGCGACTCTAGCCTGGCTGTGGTTGCTCAGATCAGAGATGGTCACCTAGGCCAGTGGCTGCCAGCAGTTGATGAGGTCCTAGCCAGCATGGGTGCTGCGCCCAGCACACCCACCCTCCACTGCCTGGCACAGGTTCACAGCTCCTTACCAAAGCTTTGGGCAGCCGAATGAGTTTTGGATTTTATAACATTTTGTGCTATAGAAAGGAAGCATGGCTCATATACCATTAATTTCTCCAGTGAGGTCTGGGCAGTACCCTGTAATCAAATTTTGTGCAGCAAAATGTATGACTATGCACACTAAGTGAGATAAATTAAGATTTAAATAGACTCACATCAGTTCATGTCAGGTTTTGCTGCCACATGAGTTTTGGCGCCTACATCGATGAGAAGGCTTTCGATGTTCAGGACTTTTTATACATTTTATACTGTGCAAGGGAATTATGGCTGTCTACTGGCAGATTCCTGGCCCATCCTCTGTTCTGGGTGTGAAACATCAGAAGGCAGTTAGTGGGTGAAAGGTGTGTGCACACGAGCGTGCCTGCTCAGGCGGCAGCAGGCAAGAGTCCCAGGAGAGAGCAGAGGCGAGTCAGGAGGAGTTGATCGTGGTGGAGCTGGAAGCAGCAGCCCGTGGAGAGGGAATCCGAAGCCCAGAAGCCTAGTCGGGCGAATGGCCGGAAGCTGCTGGAGCAATTGGACAGCGGCGGGGCTGCGTGCCCGTCTCTAAGAGGCCTGTTTGTGGACACGGCTCCCGTGGTCTCTTTCCCACAGAGCAGACCCTTACTAACTGGGTAACCAGGGCACAGCTGTGCTTGTTGTAACCTGCAGACCTAACGGGGTAAGAAGAAGAGGCATTAGATCCCCATCATCCTCACTTCCTTGATTCAGAATTCAAATTCCTACCATACTTTGAAGTTTACTTACATCCCCTCTGGCTGTCTCCCACCAGCTAATGCATTCATTTACTCATTTATTTAAAAAATACTTGTTAAGAGCATGCTGAGGCCCGGTGAGGCAGTTGACTGTCGTGGTTACAGAGCAGGCTCTCCGGATTCCAGTCCTGTCCCTGCCTCTTTTTTTTTTTTTTTTTGAGACGGAGTTTCACTCATGTTACCCAGGCTGGAGTGCAATGGCGTGATCTCGGCTCACCGCAACCTCCGCCTTCTGGGTTCAGGCAATTCTCCTGCCTCAGCCTCCTGAGTAGCTGGGATTACAGGCATGCACCACCATGCCCAGCTGATTTTTTGTATTTTTAGTAGAGATGGGGTTTCACCATGTTGACCAGGATGGTCTCGATCTCTTGACCTCGTGATCCACCTGCCTCGGCCTCCCAAAGTGCTGGGATTACAGGCTTGAGCCACTGCACCCGGCTGTCCCTGCCTCTTAACGTCTGTGCCTCAATTTTCTCATTTGTGAAACAGAGATGATAATAACAGTACTTACCTCACAGGGTGGTTGTACAGATTAATTAAATGAATAGCACCTGCTTCACAGTGAATCCTGTATACACAATTAGCTAATGTTATTATCATTATTTTTATTTATAGATAGGCCAAGCACACTGTTCTGGTCACTGGGGCTGTAGCTGTGAGGACTAGAGGAGATACCTACTCCTATGGGGCTCGCATTCTCAGCAGATTTTGACTTTCTAAAGGCAGAGGACGTTTCTTTGTATGTCCGTTCATGTCCAGCACTGTGCTCCACATCCATCAGGCCATCCCCATTCTCAGCACATTTTTATTGAGCGCTCATGTAGACCCCTCTGCTAGGTCTGTGAGGCTTGTAAAATGGAGTACGAGACAGTTCCAGCATTCCTGTGGCATACACTTTGGGAAAAGAGTAAAGATAGATACACACACAAAAACCCTACTCTATCATGTGCAGTGGTCAGCCCTGGAAAAGGTGTTTCAGAAAGCCTTCTGGTCTGGCTTGAGCAACTTCAGTTCTTCACGGCTCCCTGCATGCCAGGTACTTAAAAGGAAAGGCAGCCTACTTATTGGGTGTCGAGGACCAAAAGGACACATGAGATGTCGCACAAGTTGCCTATAATTTTCTCACTCCTGGTCCCAAAGCAGGCAACTTCCCATATTCGGGCTCTTCCTCTGGATGGACGTGATCGATGGTGGATATGTGAAGGTTCCGTCTTGGGCATTCCCAGCTGGCTGCTGATGCTCCTCATTTTGGTTGCTCAGCTTGTTCCTTACAGCAGATTTTGGAAAGTTTGAGTAAGGCTGCTGAGCATCACTGGAGTTGGAGCAGGGAGCGTGCATGTCGGAGAAGCCCTTCTTGTATCGGGCTCAACTCTCTTATGGCCCAGCTATCCCCGTGCACTCCCCTTCCCCAAATCTACCAGAACAGACTTGGTTTGACTTGTCTGTCTTCCCTCAGGTTTTTTTTCATCAGACACAGCTCTTCCAGTTATTGGCACAGTCCATCCTAAGACTTAGCTTAAGTGTTAATGGCTGAACAATCTCAGCCTATTAACACTAATTGTAATAATATTTATTGAATGTGTGCTTTTTGCCAGCCACTTTGCTCAGCCCTTTTCATGTTCTTAAACCTCACTAACTCCAGGAACCGGAGTGTGATTTTGCTCAGTGAAACCTGAGATTGTTTCTAGAGTAATCGAATAGTATTGAGTAGCAGTGTTATCCCCAATAGTGGAAGAGAGCTGAGGCTTCAGAACGTTGAAGAACTCTCCCAAGGTCATAGAGGTGGTTAAGGAGAGGGCCTCTGGTGCATATCCAGATGGTCGACTGCAAACCCACATTCTTAATTAGATTAAGAGTAGTAGAACTCTTTCTCTGCCTAGATCTTGTTGATCAGTAGAGAATTCATTCTGATCTGTTGTTTGTCTTAAACCAAAAACATGCCCGTCGTTAATATGTATGACTTTGGCTTTTTTTTTTCTTCCAAGGGGAAAAATCGTAGTCTTGTATTTATGTGGGAAAATCCTGACACACAGGCTTCCACCTGCATTACCCTTTCTCATACTGTCATATCCGTGTGTAGCAATCAGAACTTAAATAGACCGACAGAAATCCTTTAGCAGTCCAGCAAAAAGTACTGTGGGAGCCTGGAGAGAAACTTTGATCTTCTAGTACCAGGTTCTTTGCTAGATGCATAAGAAGCACTCTTAACCCGATTGCTTAATGCATCAAGCTTGAGCCAACTTTCTGGGCATTTAGGTTGTGTGTAGATTAAAAAGAACAATCTCTACAGTATGTTAGAAAGAGCTGGCCAACTAGTCCTCGGCATTGCGTTTCTTTAGAGTGTATACCTTGTTTCTGCAGGCCTTATACAATTGTCCTTAGGATTTTTCCCAAGTGTTTTACTAGGAATTGACCAAGAGGCATCGTCTTGTAATAGATTGTCGTCCTCAGTTGCGTGAGAAGAATTCTGAGTTGGGTTTCCTCATCAATACAGCTACTCATTTAGAACGACCTACTGGGTATATTTTTCCTTTTCTCTCATTACATCTATCAGTTTATTATCTGATGTGCTTAGAGTGACAGACTTTGTCACTCTAAAAGGTGATCATTCTAATCAGTTTTGTGAAATTTGAGTCATTCCTGGTGTGTTGGAGGAAGCAAATTTCTAGGTATGGTCACTTGTGAAAATCGCAAGAACAGCTCTCTTTGCCTGTTTGCAGTGTGCTGGGCACTATGCTTAAGGCTTTTGCACACCTAATTCCAACAACCATTCTTCATCTGTAAGAAGAGGCTGACAATACTGCCCTCCGTGGGTTTGTTGTGAGATAGGAAAAAGGCACTTTGAAAGCCTGCCTTAGGGACTGTGCCCCATAAACATAAAAACAACTCTCTCCTTACGAGGTTGAACATTGCCTTTCTTATTGAGCTGATAAAGAAAGTGGCTCAGAAGGGAGGGAAAACACCCAGAATCACTCATGTTGAGTTGGGGTTTGAACTCAGGGCCATCTCACTGCAAGGCTGCATCTTCTGTGCATTAGGCCACACTGCTTCCAGAGTGTCAGCCTTTGCTGCTTCATGGCCACGTACAAAGGAAAGCAGATGCCTCCTTGGACCCGCTGCCTCCTCACAGTCCTGAGCCACCACTGGGCCTTGTTCTTCCAATTCCCAAAAGGACAATGCAGTTGTTAAAAATGATCAATAAAAAAATTTCTTCCTAAGCGCTCTCCTATTTCCTGATTTCTGTTCTTGCATGCCTCCTAACTAAGCAGCTGTCTCACTGCCACTGCTTTACTTTTTGTTTTTCTGACATCATCGTCATATATCTTTTTCCAGTCAGTGATTATATGGCTCCCTGTTTTCCTGTCTCCTTCCGTCTGAGTTTTCTCTTCACTACCTTTCCTTCTTCCCTGCCCCTTCTGACTGTACATCCCCAGTAAGCAGGGGGTAGGAGGTGGCTGATCAAATCCCTGATTTGTAGCCAGTTGTCTCCCAGCAGACTGTTGGTTTATGGAGGGAAGCCTAGGAGGCTAATGGGGCCTCATCTGACTGTAATGAAAATGGTGCTTAAAGCAGAAACAGGCATTTCATGACACTGAAAGAAAGAACTAGATAAACTCTGCAACTAAATCTAAATGGACTGGGAGGTGCATAGAAATTTATTTTTCTCTTCTGAGAAGCCATCCCTTCTTCACACTATCCACAAAAGAGGTTTATAAAATATCATATTGGCAGTTTTCAAAAAATCATGTTTATTAGTTTATTGACTAGATACCTTGGCAATGAGTGCCTGATGCCTCGAATTCAGTATTTAGAACTGAGACATAGAAATGTCCAGTGGTGGTTCTCATTGTACTCATTGCTTAGCTGAAAAATGTCTGTTGTCTTTTGGGGGGAAAAAAGAGATATTCTCATATTTCTTATATGGGAATATTTAGTTGCTTTCCCCATGCCTCACTTATGAATGTTTGGAAAGGAAAGAAAAACCAATGAAGTATTGTATGTCAGTAAATGCTTACGTGCCTGTTAGGGCTCTAGCATTGCATTTGATTTCAAATTTTACCAGGCCTAAGACATCTCAGGGAGCCTTGCTCCAGCTGATATGGTTTGGCTCTGTGCCCCCATTCAAATCTCAGCTCTAATTGTAATCCCCAAGTGTTGAGGGAGGAATCTGGTGGGAGGTGATTGGAACATGGAGGCCATTTCCCCCATGCTGTTCTCATGATAGTGAGTGAGTTCTCACGAGATCTGATGGTTTTATACATGTTTGGCAAGTTCCTCCTTCACTTTCTTCTTTCTCCTGCTGCCATGTGAAGAAGGTGCTTGCTTCCCTTATGTCTTCTGCCATGATTGTAAGTTTCCTGAGACCTCCCCAGTCATGTGGAACTGCGAGTAAATTAAACCTCTTTCCTTTATAAATTACCCAGTCTTGGTGGTGTCTTTATAGCAGTGTGAAAATGGGCTAATACACCAGCCCTTCACTAGCTGCCTTAATTGGAGACTTTTGGTGACTGGTAAAATGTTTGCATTCCATATTTAAATTTCACTGATGTTGATTTTTGTACTAGGAAGGCAAGCTCAGACTGCTCAGAGTAATATTTATAATACAGAATTTCAGTGTTAGGACCTCAGACATAATTCTAGCCTTACTTTGTAGACTTTTGATTCAGGCCTTTATATGTTTAAAAACTAATATCCTACATTTCTGGTAAAAATATAAAGATAATCCTGAGATGTGTCATTCTTTCCAGCTACTTCTGTCTTTGGTTGATAACAGAAAGATCAGATGCACAATCTGTTTTTCCTGAGTCCAGAAGTATAATATGCAAATGGATAAGGATTCTGGGGCAGTTCAACCTTAGTTAGTGGCAAGAACATGATGGTGCATCTGACATGACCTTCTTCCTCTAATAGAAACAGGCAAACAAGATAGCCCACCATGTTGTCCCTCTTTGAGGTCATATTCTCATTCACTGTCATTGCCTGTCAGTAATCTGTTAGGATGCTTTCATTAAACCTCTTTCCTTTATAAATCACCCAGTCTCTGGTAGTATCTTTATAGCAGAGAAATTTTGCGTGGGTCCTATTTATTTTTTTGGGCTGCATCTTCTTAAGTGGCCATGTGTCTTAGTTTAGGCCTCTATGACAAAATACCATAGACGGGGGTAAACAACAAACATTTATTTTTCACAGTTCGGAAGGCTGGAAAGTCCAAGGGCAAGGTGCTGGCATGTTTGGTGTCTGGCGAGGGCTCTCTTCCTGGTTTGCAGCTGGCCACCTTCTTGTTATATCCTCCCATGGTGGAGAGAGAAATCTGATCTCTTCCTCTTCGTATAAGGGCATTCATCCCATCATGGGGGCGTCACCCTCATGACCTTATCTAAACCTGGTTGTCTCCCAAAGGCCCCACCCTCAAATACCATCACATTAGGAATTAGGCCAATGTGTATTGAAACAGAAGAATTTTGGGGAGGCCAGAACATTCAGTCCGTGACCTTTCTTTATGACCCTGTCCACTGCTCTCTGAAACCATGCAAGGCAGATGGGGTGAGCGCCTGGTGTGAAGTGAGAGGGGCTCCTGGGAGACTGGAAAACACCAATTCTTATATACCCTTGTCTGTCTTTTCTTTTAGTGTTAGCTGCTCATCTTTCCTTCCCCCCCCCCGCCCCTGCTTTCTTCAGTTGTCTTTCTCTTTCCCTTTACAGGTAATCCCTGTGATGGTTGTTTCTTCCATTGTTAGCCACATTTTCAGTTTGCTTTGTTAGTGACTCTGTTCAGATATGTGACTGATACTCCTTCTAGCAGACTGGCATCTCTGAAGGATGATAACATGCATACAGCTGTAGTGTAAACAGGAGCAGTTGTGGAGAAAGGCCTGTTAATAAAGGTGTAAATTCTGGGAAGTTGCAGTAGAACAATTCTAAACAACCCTAGCCATTACAGATATTTAAGAAAGAAAAAGGTTGCTAGCCATCATCTCTGTTTACTTCTTGGATAGCTTTTGAAGTTTGGACATTTGAGCACTAATATGTAGGGAAGAAAGAAACTCAAATGGTATTTAGCATGTGAATAATGCCATAGTGGAGCAGGAAGCACAGCCCTGATTTGGTGTCCTGCCTTCCTAGTAATTGAAGGAGCTGAAGCCAAGCTTCCAGGAGAGAACAAATAAGCAAGTAAATTGGAGGCTTCCTTCTTATGGTTTATTGATGCTGTTTTGACCAAGTAAAAAGATTATTTACCCATAAAAGCTCAAGTCTAAGGAGTTTTTTGTAAACTAGTGGCTATTTGAAAGAAGCATTAGGAGATAAAAGGAGGAAAGAAGGTAATATCATTATCTGATGTTTAGATTAAAACCCAGCAAAACAATTAGATTTATGGTATTTTTCTGTAGCTGTTTTTCTTGGCACAGATAATACTAGACAAGCTTGCCTGTTATTTTGCTTAGAGTTATGTTCAAAAGAAGAAGCAGAGCTCCATTGTAATACATGATTCTGTCTCATTAGCTGGAAACAAAACATATTTCAGTAATGAGGGGCAAAGGTCCTTGCAACTGACGGTGGTGACAAAATTTCCTGATTTTTCACAAATCTTAGTTCTAGTTGAAAGCTTAATGGTCTGGGGAGACATGACTGTGTGAGACTCTCGTGTTAGCACCCTACCTCCCAGTGTCACGCCCACACATCCCAGTTGTGTGGGATGTGACTTGATCCGGCGTATGTGGTGTGGATTGTTCCAGGTGTCATATGTCCTCAGGTTGTGTCTGTGGGCTTTGGCGTGTTCTGTTGTACATTAGAAGGGTTTTCAGTGCACTTACACCAGCCAGCTCGGGTTGTTTTGGTCAGTCATCTGCGGGGGAAGTGGCACTAGTGTCCTTGCTTGCTATCATTACATAAAACACACATTCACAAAGAGAATTCTTCATTAGAAACAGATTATACGTGTGGAATCTCCTGGACAACACGAGAATTTCTAGAAACATGTTAGACAGCAGCACAACTGCTCCATGACAGAGCCCTATCAGAACTGCTAGGAACATTCAGCTTGCCACAGTGCATCCGGAATTTAGATTTTCTGATGAAACTGTGGTTTCCCGATTTTCTTTTCTCTAAAGTAACCCTGAATGTTAAAACTTGAAGACAATAGAGTTTCAAACTTCCTCAAACTCACCACCTAACACATGACTAGAGTCAGTGGGAGGGGAAAGTATGCAAGGTCTCAGTGCCTGCAAGAGGGCAGAGTGAAGAGCGCAAGCAGGAGCCAGGAGAGGCCGGTGATGGGAACGTGGCTGCCTCCATGGCAGGGGCCAGCTCCCGTCTAGGGGGATCGCTGTGTTCTGTTGCCGAAGGGGAGATAAATGTCAGTACGTCCAGTTAGAAAGATGAGCGCACCCATCCCTGCAGGATGAGGTAGGTAAGGCAAACCCTGTATGACCCACCGTCTTCCTGTGAATCGAGTGACCTGGGATCATGACCACTTTAAGGCTGGCATCTCCTCTCATTGAAATGGGGCTGTGGTTAGGGGGAAGATTGGCATCTACTATGGTCTTTCTCTGTTGTTAAATTCTGTGATTTGAAGTCGTCTAGGTGCAGTCCCTGTGGACCCCTTTTTCTGAACTCAAGCCTGTGAACATGCCCACTTTTTTGGCAACTGGAATAAGAGGAAAAAAGGTTTCTTTTATGGTTCTATCACGACAGTGAGCACCTAGAAAGCAGTGTGTTTGCTTTCATAAGAGGCCAGCCATAAGAGGACTGTCAGATGGAGCCAGTCTGTTCTAGATTGGTTGCAGTGCCAAGCCAAGCTAGCATTCCCACGAATCTGCCAGTCTACTTGTTGGTTGACAAATTCATTAGCGTCACCTTTTTTCAGTGTACTATCCTAGACATTGTAGAGAATAGAGTCATCATTAGCAAGGTCTGTGCCCTAGAGATAAGGCTTCCTGGGTGGCACCTTCACTCCCAGACCCAGGAATAACACCAGGCTGCCTTTCCTGGGCATATGTCCCAGTACAGGCAGGTGCCTTGTGTTTGGAGAAGGAAATTGGCCTAGAGTGACTGGCAGAGGAGATGGTGGAGCTCCCTACCCTCTTGATCTCTTCTGCTCTCCTGTGAGTCCCCTGGTCTAAGCCAGACAGAATTTATTATAACTTAGTTCTATGCTATTCTTTATATGTGATTATATGCAAAGTGATTTAAAAAAATAAAGTGAATCATAACTTA